GAGCAGGAAGCATGTCAAGTGAACTGTCTTATAGATGGTAATGACGAGAAATCCTGAATCGAAGCGGTTAATAAACTAGACCTTGAAGTGATCACGTGCGTACTACAAAATCATTTACATGCTCAGCAGAAAAAAAAAGAGACCTGCACGGGAAAAAAGTAGGAGCTCCTCGACTACATTGCATTGCATTGTGACGAAGCCAGCGCAACGCGGACGAGGTTCGTCGTAGGGCGGTCGTTTCTGTCTTTCTCTCCTAAGCCTGTATCCATTGTCCCGTACAGGAGCAATTTTAGGACAAATAGGGACCCGAGAAAGCAGTAAAAACGAAATGAAAAAGAACTTGAGCGCAGCGCAGCCCTAGCCGGCCAGCGAGAATGTTAGTGGCTGCCGCTACCATCTGCTCTTGACACGGGTCTTTTGTGCAAAACGCCAAAAAGGGGAGCCCCAAAATATCGCCGCTCTTCTCCCGGAGTCGCGTTCCGCGGCTTCTCCTGCGTTCCGGTGGCACAAAAGTGCGTCTCCAGCCGAGCGAGATAGTTAAACCCAAAAGGTAGCATACTTGGGGCCGCTGACGCTGGTGGCACTCAAGAATGGAGCGGCCATTAAAAACAGCCCGCGACCAGTTTAAAAAGACCGCTTCCCTCAAGAACCCCCCCCCCCCCCCTTTCCCTTTAACTTGCTGCCTTTTTTTATTATTATTATTTCTTGATGAGAAACGAGTATCTAGGTCTTAGAGGCAGTGCCAGAGAAATTACGGGCGCTCGCATGACCGAGAACGCTTCGACTGAATGCGGCGCATCGCAACTTAGTGTTCGAAATTTGGACTTGAGGGATAAAAACATCTGGGATAAAAACCCCGCATGGTAACAGCTTCATTTAAATGCTCTTTTGGTTGCATCAGTAGGAATCATAAAAGCCTGATTTCTAGTGGGTTTACTTTGTGCCACAAAGACTTAGGTTGCTTGTCGTTCACAACATTTACATGTCCCCATAGGCTTATTTTCCTAGTAATTTAATATTAAATGTTGACATAGTTTAATGTATTCAGTCGTTTTGCCCTCATTTTGTTGCAATTATTTATTGATGGTGTGTTCAGTCTATAATTTATATTGATTCATAAGCCAGGGAGTGTTATACAGAAAGGAGATGGATCATTGTGAAGTAATGCACCTGCGTTAACTACATTGGAATGAAGGCATATTCAAAGTGCCAGACCTGTAGCCTACGTTTTTTTGATGGAAGTTTAACATATACGGGAATGCGTAGCTTCGGAATACCTTGTAATATTGTTCAAGTAATGCCAAGTAAGTGCCCCTTCTATTTGTATTTATCTGATTCGCCCTCTTGGTGCTTTACTTACCTTAAGAACAGCGGAGCACCACACATTCTAAATTATAAATATTGCTTCGCACATATTCCATAGATTGCTTTTAAAATTCTGGGTTTTAATGTTTTCTGATCAGGTGCAATAAAAATTTGCATGGAGAATGATGAAATCCTATGTAGGAATTTAACTACTTGTTTCGCCATATTTTCTTCACTAAAAGTAATTACGTCTTTAATGGTAATAGGAAAATCTATACAAACTAATATTTGTTAACACGATGCATTACTTCCACTAGAGTTTCCTAAACTTAAAGACCGCAATCTGGCTTTGTGTATTCGCTGTTCAAACGATTAGGTTTATGTTGTGGCTGCAAAAAACGTCGTCGTCTTTGTCACCAGAGCCTTAGCTCGGACACGGTAGCTCCTGAATTTCATTCTTCGGCGATCTGGAAACCTGGCAGCTGGCCATGCCTCTCCTTCCTGTCGTATTGCAATAAACTGTCAGTAATCTCCTCGACTTGGTCTACTACACTGGCGACGAAGGTGAAGACCACAGCGGACTCAATGGAAGCATGGCAGAGCAGCAGTGAGCATGGTGGAAAACCAGATCATAGCATTCTCTATACTGACAAAGACTGGCAGATCGCCACGAGATGTGCCCGGCGAAAGTGAAAAGGTAGAGCGGCACGCAACGAATGAGAGGAGAGTAATGTGACGGGCGCGCCGCTGCGGCGAGACGGCGCAACACACTTGTCCCAAGCGATAGAATGTCCGCTCGTGCTCTTCGCGTTCCTCATGCTACCGCTTCCTTTCTCGACGGGTTTAAAACTTATGGTTTGAATCCTCGCCACTGCAAAAGCTGTGTGCTGACTACAGGCTCCCAAGAAATGTTCTGTGCTACCAGACCCTCGCGCACTAAATCTGCGATCGGACACTTTATTGTTCCGTCGTCAAACTGCCAGACTCTGTAAATATAGGCTAGGTGATAACCAGACCCTACTGTTTCCATGGTTCCGGGTTATTGGACGCCAAAAAGGAGAGCTGGAAGTTATATCAGATAAAGCTTCAAGCTTGACTCGACGTCGCTAAGGTCACTGCTGGCGCAGAGAAGGGAAACTTATTGATCGCTTTAACTGGTCCCGAGACATTCAAGCTGCTCTACTCCCTAATCCAGCCACAGAGTTTTCTGAAGACACCGTGTCAGGAGCTGCTCAAGAAGCTTGCAGAAGCTTTAGCACCTAAGAAGTTGAAGAAATTTGAACTGGCGAAGTTGTTTTCGACTCGTCAGAGAGAGAATGAGACAATCTAAGTCTTCATAACGCGGCTTATATTGTCACGGGTGGTCCCTAAAAACAATAGATAAACAGGAAGCAATAAACGTTTAATGTGGCGAACTTGTGCCAAAAATAAAAGAGTACAAAATATAATAACAGAGCGTCGCGGGCGTCGAAGTCGGCGAAACCGCAGGATCGAGCGCTGGGGCGAGACTGACTCGACAAGGTCGCGAGCGGCGTCTTATCTAAATTAAGTCACTATCTCGAAGATTCGGCAGAGAAGGTTCGAGCGTAGCGCGCTCGGGGCGAGAATGAACACGCACTTTCTAGAACAACATAAGCGGGTATAAACGATAGAAGTTATGTCCGGAGCAAGAATAAACGAGAAAGTTCTAGAAGTCCGTGACCCCTGCGCGCGGCAATATCAATCCTCATTAACTGCGACTATGAATCTGAAGCCGGCACCAGATGTTCATCCCTTTTGACGGCAATCATCGTGGGTGCGCAGACGTGCCCAGGCGCTCGTCCGGGCACTTCTGATGCTCGATAGAGACCTAACTCTGGACGTCACACTTCGGCTGGCCGACCCAACCCCCACCACCGAAGCAGAGTCCCGACGCTTAGACCGGGTGACCACGCTGCCCTCATCGTTGAAAAGGTGAAGCCGTCGACTTCCGCACCTGTCAAGTGTTTTCGATGCGGCAACACCAACCACTGGGAGAGTCCTGCCGCGTCCGAACTGGGTCGTGCAATTTATGTGGAAAACGAGGCCACATTGCAAAAGTATGCCGATCAGAGGAACGCCACAAGACAGCTGTCAATAACAAGGAAAAGGTGAAAACAGTCACCGACGTATTCGTCACTCCGGAATCAAATGGCGATTTTGTCAGTTGTATTATTCAAGGAACATTCGTAATGATGCAGATCGACACAGGATCTAAGCTGACACTCCTAGACACTGACATGGTGCGGAAAATAGGGAGAACCAGCTTGCCGAAATACGACTACAGCCTTCTCTACCTCAACAAGAAAAAAACATCACGGTCGAGGGTCGGTGCTTGCTTCAGGTCATGCTTGGAAACGCTCAGAAGAGCTAGAAGCATTTGTGACTGACAAGCGACGCACCAACCTGCTTGTAAGAATGTGCATCCAAAGGCTGAAGATCGACCTAAACAAACTGCTTATTCAATCTCTCTGTAACTGGAAGTCGAAGCCTCACTTCAAACAATGTTCGCAACATTTCTGACCTTGTTCTCTGGCGACTTGGGTTGTTGCATTAAACTCAAGTTTCAACTTCAGTTCAAGCCTGACACGAAACCAAAATTCTTCAAGCCCCGCCCAATACCGTTTGCTACGCGAGAAGCAGTTGAGAAAGACTTGGCCAAGCAATACAAGAACAACGTTCTCACACCCGTGGACTTCTCGCAGTGAGCCACTCTGACTGTGGTCGTCCCAAAGTCGGATGAAGGGGTTCGAGTCCGCGGTGACTTCAGTGTCAGCGTGAATCCTCAGCTCAAGATAACCCAGTACCCACTGACATGCCCAGAAAAGCTTTGCATTAAACTTAATGGCGGCAACAAATTCACGAAGTTAAACTTTTCAGAAGCGTATTTCTGCCTGAAACTTATAAAGAGGCAATAACGGCTCTCGGGATCAAAACGCACAAAGGTCTTTTCAAATTCAACCGTATGTCTTTTGAAGTCGCCTCCACTTCAGCAGTGTCTCAGCGCACGGTGGACTATATAACTGCAGGGCTCGAAGGCGTTGCCTCTTACCTCGATGATACTCCCTTGGTCGATCAATAAACACGTTTCAAAGCAAAGCACTCCGATGACATTGTCATCATTGGAAGAAATGCTCCTGAACACATCCGACATCTTCAACAAATGCTACAGCGGCTGCAGGAATACGGCTTCACTTTCAAGACGAAATATTCGCCTTTCTTCAAGAAAAGGTTGAGTACTTCGGGCAAGTCGTTTCCGAAAAAGGCTTCACGCCTTCCATGATAAATGTCTCGGCTATCCTAAATATGCCAGAGCCTAAGAGCACCAGCCAGCTAAGATCTCTTCTTGGCATGGTGTAGCATTACAGCAAGTTCCTTCCGAACCTTGATGAAAAATGTGCGCCGCTGAACAAACTACTGAAAAGGCACCGCATGGCAATGCAGTTCCGAGTGCGTAGATGTGTTTGAAAACATGAAAAAACAACTGACGGCTAGGGAATTCATTGTCTACTGAACCCTGATCTGCCGATTTAAATTGTGGCGGATGCATCGTCTGTAGGCGTGGGCGCGGTGATATACCAGAAGCTCAAAGGCAAGGAACGTCCCATAGGACATGCTTCTAAGGCACTGAATTTATCAGAGTGTGTTCATGCACAAATACAAAAGCAAGCACTTACCATCATTTTTAGTGTCCGCATGTTTCACCAGTTCCTTTGGGGGCACAAATTTGTGCTCTGTAGTGAACACAAACCTCTGACAGCAATCTTTGGCATCATGAAGGGCATCCCCGTGACATCGGCGAACAGACTCCAGTGTTTGGCCCTCATACTCATGAACTACAGCTACACCATTGAATACGTGACAACGGCTAAGTTCGGAAACGCTGATGGACTTTCGCGTTTCTCACAAGGTCCTGACGAGGACTTCGACAAAGAAGTTGCAAGCGGAGTTTTCACCATCTCACGTGAAACACAAAATGTCTTCGCGCTTTACACCCATAGTTTGTCTTAGTTACCAGTGAAGGCAAATGACATCGCCACGGAAGCCGCGTTAGATCCTGTCCTTTCCGAGTATAGCGGTACATCAGTCAGGGCTGGCCAGATAAGGTGACGGACTCTGACCTCGTACCGTTTCGTAGAGAGAGATCGGAATTAACCATCCTCAATGGTTGCATCCAATCGAATTCGCGAAGGGTAGTTTCACGCAAGTTCCAGCACCAATTAATACATTTTCTTCATGAAAGACACGTGGAATGAACAAAAATTAAGATGTTGGCACTGTCGTACATCTGATGGCCACACATAGTTAAAGACATTGAGCGCACGACGCAGCAATGCCAGCCCTGCAGCAGTGTTTTCGATAACATACCACGCGTTCCTCTTAACCGCTGGGGCGGCTGGGGAGCTCCGGAGCTACTGTGGCAGAGACTTCATGGTGACTTTGAACAGCTAGATCAGCAGAGTTATCTCATTATCATAGATGCATTCACCAAATGACCCTAGGTTATGCCGATGAAATTCAAAACAACGGTAGATACCATCGATGCTTTGCAGGAGATTTTCTCTCGTCAAGGCGTGCCACAGCAACTTATCACCAATAATGGGCGACAGTTCATCAGCTCGAAATTTAAAACAAATCGTGGACAGTGGCGCAATTGCTCATCTCTTTACCCTTCCGTATCATCCCAAGTACAACGAACAAGCAGAGACGTTTGGGAATACATTGAAGTCTGCTCTTCGACGTTCCTCCGACAGAGAGGAAGGCAGCGATGCGAAACTTTTTGCTTAAGTACCGGATCACCCCCACACCTCAAAGGGAGATCCGCCATGTGGACTGCTCACAAGCAGGTCCTACCGGTCGGTTCTCTGCTTATTAATGCTTTCCAAGGTACGAACCCATGCCAAAGCGGCAAAGAAAGACGAGGGATCCGCCACCTTCACCATCCAGTAGAAAGTGTGAGTAAAACATCGTCTCCACAAACAACACTGAATAAAAGATGTGGTCACAAAAAGAATTCTCAACGTCATCTACGAAGTTTAAAATGAAACCAAGGCTGACATATGACGATTCCGACATTGCAACCTTCCCAATGGACGTGCCAGGGCCTTTTCAGGTTTTCACCCAGTATGAGTACAGTGACACACGAGTTCCTTCGGGGTCTCCACTGCAGCCAGACTGCAGTAGGAGACATCCGTCAGGCAGCCACCTCGAGCCGGACCATTACAAGCCTTCCTAAAAGGAAAGAAAATGTGGTGACTGCAAAAGACAATCGTCGTCTTTGACAGTAGAGCACGAGCTCAGACACGGGAGCTCGGGAATTCCCTTCTTCGGCGAGTTGGAGACCTGGCAGCTGGTCATGTCCCTCCGACCTGCTGTATTGGAATGAACCCTCAGTAGGCATCTCGACCCGGGTCTACTACAGGGTACAAATAATATTTGTCTTGCAGTGATATTAACCGAATCTGAGTATGCTGATATCGGAAACTGAGGATCGAAGTGCGATGAAATGACGATAGCGCGTGTGGCCGAGCGCAAACTAAGTGAATACGGCGCGCTGAGCTTAGAGTTGGAAATTCTGACCTGCACAGTGAAGGCAAAGTCATAAGGGACGAAAATCCCTCTTGGTAAAAGCTTCATTAATGAGATGCCGGGGTACGTTAGGTGTGAACAAAGCAGTAAACGTTTTTTTTATCCAACAACACATTTGCTGCGACAATAGCAATCACGTGACGGACACCCTTTTCCTGATGCGCCACTTTGAATTCGGCACAAACCTACAGCGATGAATGTATACAAAAAAAACGACTCTAGGTGCACGATTCAATCAATACCAAGAAGTTCCGCCACATAGTTTCTCGCAGTTTGGTATTCGCTCGCGGAAGCATTCGTTGCTGCTGTCGTTTGTCATCCGATTGGAGGGTGACGGCGGATACCTAAGGTGACATTCCGTCGAACTCTCCCCATCAACTCACGTTGCTTGCATTCTAGGTCAATGGATCATGCCAGCCTGTTTTGCCTGTTCTGACCAATTCTAGGCTAGAGCAATAGACATCGGAAACAATAAAGGTATCTTGTTGAACGAGCCTCGTACAAAGGATGTGCTTAAATCAAGCTTATATTTTGGACAACCGCTTTTCAGATAGCAAAGTTAATACCTGTGCTGTCGTGAAGCGCTATTGGCGATGAGATCGAGCTATAGGAGGCGCTCTGACCCGCTCGTTGTCCCCACACCTCGATGTTTACCCAACACAAAGACTGTGGACATGTTCACAGGCCTTGTGGGCATGTCCATGTCATAACGAGACAATACTAACAATAAACGAATGACGTTTATTATAGTGCCGGATCTCTTTCGAAAGCAGTCGTCAGAGAATGCGAGCTTGACCCACTTCAGCTTTTGTGCTGAGCTGGGCATATTCGCCATGCGCGCTGCATTCTTCATGCTGGACGGAGTAGTAAGAAAAGAGCCCCTCCTCCTCCTCAGGCGACCGGAGAACACGAACTCCAGCTGAACGCTGACACTGAGTTCGGTTAAATAAGCCGAGCGCTGAGTCATTTTCATTTGTTGTCCCCATACATGTAGTTCTAAATTTAGACGCTTGGAGCGCCACGGTCTGCTCTCCTCTCCAATAGTTAGTAACAGATTGAGGACGTTAGGGCGTGTCTTCAGAACGCTAATACTAAATACTAATACTAATACTACAAATTATAATAAAAATACTAATACATATACTAATACTAATGGTAACTGGCAGCTGTAAGGGGTCATGAAATGATTTTTCAGCTTGTACCTTGTCAGCTTTCCTCCTCAACTCAAACGCAAAATGATAAATTCCTTGGTTGAGACATGGCATGGCCCCGTAACCGAGAGTTTTCTCAGCCGTCTGGTGTCTCCAGGCTTAGCCGTCAATGTTTCTTGCATCTGGTACAATCATATCTGGAAGGCGAGTTATCATTCTTGCCGACCGGGCAATCTGAGTAACGTTTGCTTTCATCGGCGGAAAATTCTAGTAGTGTGAAATTGTCGATTTTTACAGTGTTGATTTAGGAATGCGATAACTTCCAAGCGTCCACCGCGCTGCTTATCTCTCGCAAGTGATGGTAGGTGCCGTCGTGGCACACATTGGCATCGGACACGAATCCAAGTATTCCTCGACGAATTGATCGTCGACGAGCACGTTTGTTCGAGTTACGCGGCGCTCGTGTCCAAAGCGTGAAGTGGAACCGGCTGACGTGCTTCGAGTACCGAGGACGTATCGCAGTGAAAAGGCAAAGAGCCTTCGAAGGAAAGAAGGTACTAAATAGTCCGCCATACCTTCAAATCTTCGTATCGAAACGCGTGATTTTGACTACCCTCTTCCTTTTGGCACACTGAACATTGTGCCATACGCAAAATATAATTCTAATTCAACCCGAAATTCATTTCAAACCCCCCCAACTAAGGCGGGGGTGATAAGTTCCGGCAATATTACTATTGTCTGCTGTCAATGAGATTGTGTAAATATCCAATGCGGAGGGCAAGTTTGTCTGCCTTTCGCGCAGGGGTTGCACTGCCGGCAGAACACCGAACTCTGATTGGCTGTCATTGGAAGCACAGTGGCTAGACATCAATGCTACCGACCTTTAAGCCTAGCCACTCTCCTTCCAATCGAATCCAATCAGAGATCGGCGTTCTGAACTCAACCGAACCCCTGCGAAAAAAGCAGACGAACTTGCGCTCCGCAAAAGAATGTCAATAAACGCGTGGCGAAGCGAGAATACAACAAACCCTGCGTTTCCTAATCTGTGTGTGGCTTAACCTTAACTAATCTTCCGTTTCATCCTGGTACTGTTTGCTACTCTTTGTGTCTTTAAAGGAAGTCCAAGGGTAATTAAAAATATAGAATTGGTTCACAGTACACCAATTATGCCGCCAAAAATTTAGACCTTTAGTATTTTTTCCTGTGTCATTTGATCACACTGGGTATTTCATATTGATGGAAACTACTAAGATGCACTACGGCAATAGCAAGGCGCAAGGATTGTGGCTGGATCCTAGGACTACCGTGTGGTGCGTAGAGGCCACCCATCAATGCACAACGACGTTAGGAGTTCTGAAGCTAGGTAGTGGGCCAGAGAAACGTCCAAAATTCTCAAGCATGGTAATCCCAGAGGGCTAATACGGGCCAAATTTCGGGTTTGCGACGAGGTGGAAGTTAATTCCAATATACTATTTTCTAGCGTTTAGTTTTGATTGCCACATAGTTGCCACCAAACCGGAGCCAAAGATACCACGTATAGGCTAAACATCCAGCAGTAGAGACTAAATGTGTCAATCATATTAAAAAATCGCAAAAAGGATGGGACAAAAAGACGTAGAAGCACACAGGACAAGCGCTAACTGGCAACTACAGTTCATTGAACGCTTCCAATTTTGCTATCGCTGTGCACGCGCGTAATCTCATCCCAATAGCTTACCACCAAATCAGGCGATATAGCGCGCCCACTTTCTGTCCAAAATGTTCGGAAAACCGCCACATCACCTCACCGCACAACCCGAACGAGAAAGGAAACCGCGCAGTGTTAATAATTACAAGCTAGATAGTGCTAATAAAACTGTACTCTTTGGGTTGAAATATACACTAATGCAACGCTTATGGAAACGTATTTGTCGCAAGCATGTATTTTTGCCGCCTCCAGCAAC